AAGGTCTCCCAAGTCTTTGATTTCAAATTCAGAATTGAGAAGTCCGTTTAGTTTCCTGACCTCTTCAATGTCATTACCCGTGACCACAATATCATCAACATAAACAATCAAGAAGGTCACCAGAGTGTTATTTCTCTTCAAGAACGATGTATGATCAGATTGTGTTTGAATGTAGCCAAAGGAGACAAGAACAGCCCGAAATCTCTCAAACCAAGCCCAAGGAGATTGTTTGAGACCATAAATGGATTTGTGAAGTTTACACATCTTGCCTTTCAATTCTTTCCCATACACCCCTGGAGGTAGAGACATAGACCTCTTCATGCAGGTCTCCATTCAAGAAGGCATTTTTAACATCAAACTGGTGTCGGGGCCAGTCAAAAGTAGCTGCTAGAGAAAGCAAAACCCTAACTAAAGTCATCTTAGCCACAGGAGCAAAGGTCTCAAGATAGTCAATGCCATACATTTGGGTGTAACCTTTGGCAACCAACCTAGCCTTATACCTCTCAATCGAGCCATCAGAGAGATATTTAGTGGTGAACACCCATTTACACCACACCGGTTCCTTCCCTTCCGACAAGTCCACAATATCCCAGGTATGGTTCTTATATAATGCTTCAAGTTCAGTCRTCATAGCATCCCTCCATTCAGGTTGAGATAATGCTTCCGGTACAGACCTGGGTATCACATGTGMAGAAAHARAARCAAGAAAGGAGTAGTAGGAAGGAGAGAGAAGGCTGTAAGATAAATGTTTGGAGATGCAATGGGTTGTACACTTCCGCTTGCCCTTGCGAAGAGCAATAGGAAGGTCAAGGTTGGGGACGGTCAAAGGTGGGTCGATAGAGGGCTGACCTGTTTCCTCAGGAACTATGGGAATGGCAAGATGCTCTTCTGAAGGAGTGGAAACAACCTGCATATATCTGAATCTCCGCCTTCGGTAACACCTTTGGAGAGTAGGAACAGAAGCAAGAGGAGGAGCGGGGATATTCAGGGGTGGGTCCAGTGGAAGAGGTGGACACCCCATGATCAAACTCACAAGGGATGGGAAGAGGAACAGCCGGAGACATAGCAAAAGGGTTCATCAGATTTCTCCTCCTCAGGAGGAATACTAAAGAAAGGAGTCAACTCTGCAAAGGTGACATCCCGAGATACAAAGCAGGTGCCACGAACTAGATCAAAACAGCAGTAACCCTTTTGTGTAGAGGCATATCCCAGAAATACACACTTATGAGCCTTAAGATCAAATTTATGCCTTTGGTGACTATGAATATGCACATAACAAGTACACCCAAATAAACAGAGAGGGAGAGAAAAGAGATCCTCATCTGGGAAGATAAGACTAAAGGGGGTTTTAAAGCCAGGGACCCTGGAGGGCATACGGTTGATTAGGTAGGTAGCAGTATGAATAGTATCTCCCCAAAACTTTACAGAAACATGGGATGCAAATAAAAGGGATCTGCAACCTCAACCACATGTCTATTCTTTCTTTCCACCACCCCGTTTTGTTGTTGAGTGTAGGAACAAGAACTTTGATGAATAACCCCAAAAGTTTCAAGATAGGTGGAGAGGGTTCTCTCAAAATACTCMTTARCATTGTCAGARCRGAATATTTTGATACGAGTATTAAACTGGGTGAGGATGAATTCATGAAAATTTTTCACAATAGTTGGTACTTCATCTTGGGATTTCATGAGATAAATCCAAATATAACGAGAATAATCATCAATAAAAAGGATAAAATACCTGTAGCCCCCCATGGTGGCATGTAATATGGTCCCCACACATCAGAGTGAATAATACGGAAAGGAGAAAGAGATCTTTTATTACTGATTGAATAGGAATGTCTACAATGCTTTGCTAGCTCACATGACTCATAATGAAGACTAGATAAAGACACTCCTTTAAACATTACAGATGACTTAAAGCAGAAAAAGACAAATGACCAAACCGAAAATGACATAACAAAATTTTGTTAACAGACTCTGACACAACTGACTCTAAAGCAACTCCATGAGGTGGTCCCAAGGCTTGATCTGGTGTGTCCAGCAGGTATATTCCGTTCACCTCATGGCCACTCCCAATCGTCCTCTGAGACCGCAGGTAATGAGTGGGAAAGAAGGTTATGCTGCAGTTCATAGACTTTGTTAAGCTACTAACAGATAAAAGGTTTGTGCTAAGCTTAGGAACATGGAGAACAGAAGATAAGAACAGGGTGTCAGAGGTCTTTATATCTCCTTTACCAGAGATGGGGGCAAGTGACCCATCGACAAGGGATATTTTCTCTTTCCCAGAGAGGAGATGATATGAACAAAAAATGTTAGATAGGCTGGTCATATGGTCTGATGCACTGGAATCTATAATCCAAGGGATTTTATGATTACCTGAAACTGAAGCATGATTTGTTGAGGCATATGTACCTGGGTGAGCAAAAGCCGATGAACAGGATGTACTGTTGGAAGGGTGAGCTGAAGAAACTGTAGCTTCCAGGTGATTTAAGAGCCTCCCATACTTCTCAAAGTCTAGCTTCATTACAGCCAATTGCTCAATGGTTGATTTTTCCTCATTCTCCTTACTTCCCCCTTCGGGTACTGTAGCAGCATTAGCAATCTTGAGTTTTCCCACTTCACTGCCCTTCTTAGGGTTGTTCTTAAACCTCTCAGGGAGTAGTCCAGGGTGAAGTTTCCAGCAGGTGTCCTTGGTATGTCGTGGTTTCTAGCAATATTCACACACCTGCTCTTTTTTTTCAGTAGGCCCCTTAGATTTCATTCCCGCATGTGCAAAGTGTTCTGTAGGTGGACTTTGCAACTGAACTTGTCTACTTTCCTCACTACTTATCATGGCATATGCCTGTGATAAAGTAACCTCATCTCTGGCCAAAATATTATGTCTGATAATATCAAACTCAGGGTTGAGTCCAGTGAGAAACTCGAACACCCTATTTCTCTCCACCAGCTTTCTGTACATTTCAGCATCCTTTTTACTCTCCCATACCACAGTTTCCATAACATCAATTTCTTGCCATAGGGA